TCTTCACAATCAGTCTGCAGATACAGGAGGAAACTGGCTCCCTGGTCATTTAAGCAAAATCCTGTTAGTACAAGCACAATACTTATAAACTATAACCAATGCAAACCTCATATTAAGTTTGTCTTCACTGTTACCATGTCTGTTTTACCCTTGTCTAAATTGTATAGAACTCATGTTTTACTTGCTACCTAATTAAACAACCTAGAAATTCACAGCATAAATCCATGGAATCCCAAACAAATCCCAGGTAATGATTATACCTAACAATTACAGTCTCTTTCTTCCGAAAAGCTGTTTAAAGAAAATGTTTAGTGCACTCCTGACAATCTTATCTGTCATAAGGTTTTCAAGGCTCATCAGTATTATACATACATCAGAATTTCTCTCCCTTTTAGGCTGGGTAATATTTCATTATATGTACATGCTACATTGTTTTTATGTGCTCATCCACCAATGGACATCCATGTTGCTTCTAATTCTAAATCTTTGCTATTGTGGATAATAGTTCTGAGAAGAAGAATTTACAGGGCTGAGAAAATAGCTTAGTCACAAGAACACAAGTTCAAATCCCAGAACCCACATGAAAAGCTAAATGTGGTGATAGGTGCTATTAATTCCAGCTCTGAGGTGGTAGAAACAGACCCTGGGCTAGCCAAGTCCCAGGCTGATGAGAGACCCAGTTTCAAACAACAATGTTGAGTTCTGGCTTCCATGAGCACCTACATAGAGAGAGACACAGAGACAGTCACACAGACCCCTGCATGCATGCACAGAGTTTTAAAGAAGGCATTTATGGACACCTTTCTGAGACATCTCTTTGCCTTCTTCTGGGTATATATCCAAAAGCAGAATTGCTGTGTTGTGGTAACTCCACATTTAACTGTTTGAGGAAGCGTCACTCTTTTCCACAAGTTACATCATTTTACATTCCCACCCAAAGTACAAAAGGGTTAAACATCCTCTGATATCTACATAAGAAATTCCCACAAGCTCCTCTTCAGTCAATCATGTGGAAAGTATCAACACACCCTCCTGCTATAACCAGGTAATAGGAGAGAAACATAGGAATAACTTATCCCAACAACTTCAGCCAGAGCCTCTGGGAGTTTATTAGTATAGGTGTTTGAGTCAAACATTATTCTAGATATTTCTGTGAACTACAGACTTGGAACGTCTTCTGGGAGGTGGTAGAACCTTCTGGTGAGGCCTAGGGGAAACCCTTGTCATGGCTCACTAGCAGCTCACTCTTCATGGGTTTGGGAGCCCAGTCTCACTGCTCCATCTCTCATTCTCCATCATTGTCACCTAACGCCCAACCAGAGGCCCAAGGCAACGAGTCCTGTCTGTTATGAACTGGAAGCTCCAAAACCGTAAGACAAAATACATGTTTTCTCTTTGTAAGTTAACCATGTCAAGTACTTCATTACAGTGCTACAAGGTCAACGTCCTCTTTCCTGTGAAAAGGTATCTAATCAGATGAGGGCTCTAACAGAAAAAGACTGGCTGTGAGCAACGAAGGATGCGCCAGCAGATGCGTTTCTGTGCCCAACGCTTATCCTATGTCAAACTGGATCTCTAGTTTGCATCCTATCCTACAGATTCAGAATAACTAAGCCTCTAAAATGCATGAACCAATTTCCCAAAATAAACTGCTTTCTTTATGTCCCTATGCCAATACCCTGTGTGCTCTGCTGCTCTAAAAAGCCTAACACGGACAGGGGCAGTAGAGACAGGACTGTAATTGCTACAAACATCCTCACTGACAAGAAGTGGGCAGCAGCAGAGAGGGAGGGAGGGACCAGCATAGGGATAGGCGGGCACAAGCACATATACTTTTGCTTTTTCTCTCTACTTCCTAGCGCCTGGGGATGTTAATATTCTAACATAAAAAGGTTTGGTTTAGATCCATAAGCTACTTCACAAAATAAATACTATCTGTGCTTTCTGCCTATCAGACCATTTTCCTTCAATTCCCAACACTGACAAGAAACTAACAAAACACACCCATGCAAATGCCCTTACCTTGCTCACCCTGAGCCCACAGTGCTGTACATGAACAACTCTACATTTTCTACCACAAACAAGTCTGAGCTATTAGCCTCCGCTGTGTGATTATTAATGGTGACAACACAAACCTTCACTTACCAAGCAGGAGTATTAGTTGTAAAAGCTCAATATGCATCTCAACAAAAGAATGTTTCCACGTTTATTTTTGAGAGCAAATGTAGCCAGGGTGGCCTCAAAATTGTGATTCTCCTGCCTCTGCCTCTTGGGTACTGGGATCACAGACATGCTTAAACCAGCATTTGTATTAATAATAAACCAGATTTAATTAAACAGAAAGTTCAGTAAATCCTTGGCTATTATCAAAAAGGTATTTTCGGATTGTGTGTATTAGTTATCCAACTTACCATTCAGTTTCTTGTGGCAACGCAGAACATTCCACCAACTAACTGGTCAAGTCATAACATTAGGTATCTAATGTGTTTCAGGCATCACTGTCACCATTTATCAACCTTACTTCAAAGGCACAGAAACTATAACGGGACTATGAGTTGTATTTGTTCTGATAAACGTTTTATCTGCATATAATGCCCGAGAATGTGAAGCTAAGCTGTGTGGCTTCTGAACAGAGTCTGAGAGCAAGCACCTTATTACCACACACATCAGCATCATATGTAGCTACTTTGAAGAATTATAGACACCAAATTAAATCCAATTTTAAGTTTTAGCTGATACCAAGTACTTATACTTTTGAAAATGTAGTCTTTCACTCTGAAAGCTAGGTTTGAGAGGTTGATACCTGAACAGTGACCAGCTTTAAGGGAGCCTGCCATGTTAAGTGTTCATACAACAGCTCTAAGACCTATGTGCCTGGGAGACACAGGTCAGCAATGCTTAAGAAGAGCAAGGACACCACAAGAAAACCCAGAGAACCAACTAACTGGGTTAATAGGAGCTCACAGACACTGAACCAACAACAACCAGGGAGCCTACACAGGACTGACCTAGGTCCTCCGCACATGTTACAGTGGTGTAGCTTGGTCTTCTTGGTGGCCTCTGAACAGTGGGAGCAGAAGATGTCTCCAACTCTTCTGCTGGCTTTTAGGACCCTATTCCTCATACTAGATTGCTCTGTCTAGCTTGAATACAAGGGAGGTGCTTAGTCTTACTACAACTTGATATGCCACGTCTTGCTGACATCCATGGGAGACCTGTCCTTTTCTGAATAGAAACAGAGGAGGAGATTGGAGGAGGGTTGCAGAAGAGAGGTGGTAGGGAGGAACTGGGAGGAGAGGAGGGAGGGAAACTGCAGTTGGGATATAAAATAACATTAAAAAGAAAAAAAAAAAAAAAGGACTGATACACCCAACAGAGCACAACAGAGAAATCTCACTTCAAGGAAGGAAGCCACAAGAGGAGGTGCTGCCACATGAAGAACATTCTGGATATACGACTAGCCAGGTAGCGTGATGTATGCAGAAGGGTAATGCAGAGTACCTCGATGTAGAGGGCAGCATCAGTACTGCTCAGCATTGCTAGCAAGCAGTGACAACACTATTAACTCTTGGTACTCATCACTAGTATTTGGACAGCATCTACAGACAGACAATACATTTTTTTGCTGCCTTCTGTTAAGGTGCTTTGGTCTCCCAAACCTTTTTTTTGTTGAGATGGCTTTACTAGAACCTTCTTTCTGCAAGAACCTATTTTTCACTAGCCCAAGACACAAAGAGCATTTCTACATTGCATAAGAGCTCCACCAAAAGAGAGAGGAAACTGGAGTTCCTAGTTTCCTTGTCACTGCTTTTAGTTCATTCTATTGCAAGCAGTCGGTGACAAACTTAAACACTGATTAAGAAAGCTACTCAGAGGCTCATGCCTTTAATCCCAACACTTGTAAGTTCCAGGCCAGCCTGCTCTACAGAGTGAGAAATAAACAAACAAAAAGCCACTTAGAATTTCCTGAATAAATATATATTTTTAAATGAATTACTAACTGGAATTTTCATTCTTTTTAAATCATGAAGAAAGATGGTAGTACAAAACAGACAGAAATTTATCGTCAACTTCGTAAAAAAAAAAAAAAACAAAGATTTATCTATTTTTTCCTGTAAACCCACTGTTTATAAGCACAATATTTCAATTCTATTAGGAAAGGAGCATAAGAAAAAGGATTCAAGCAAACTTCTTTGTTACTGGTCCCGAAGGCGCTGTGGGTATGAAAGTAGGACAAAATGACTCCTGATTAACACTCTGACAGGACTACTTAAGGGTAGAGGAAGCAGAAGCTGACTGGAATCCCTCATCCAAGAGGAGAGACTGAATCAACACCACAGCACAACGGCCCTGGGGCTCCACTTCAGTCTGTGAATTTGTTCTTATGTAACACGTAGTCAGAGACAAAAGTCCTCCCTGTACATGTAGTTGTTTAAAACAAGGGTGCTGATACAAAGCCAACTTCAGTTACCACCTTTACACAGAAAAGAACTTAAAAAAAAAAAAGCACAATTTACCTATGCAACAAGAAAGCAATCCAAGTAATTTAAACCTATGAAGACTTAATGAATAATAATCCATCAGATGGGGTTTTTAAAACAGCTCAAAAGGTAAAGTCCGTGCTGCACATGTATGAGGATCTGACTCCCATCACCCATTCAAACCCAGGTGTGGCTCTAACTATACTGCAGGAAATGGTGGAGACATCAAATATCCTGGGCTTCCTACAGCTTGATGGCCATCTACTCTAGTGGAAACAGTCAGCACTAGGCCCAGTAAGCAGCACTGTCTAAGCTAACAGTGAAGAAGGCTGTAGAAGAGATAGCTGACTGCCACCTCCTGTAAGTGTATCCTACTAACAGCACAAGGACATACACACACACACCACCACATCCCAAGAGCTGTAGACCTACCTACCTATGGCAAAATTTTCTACAGAATGGGAAAAGTACCCACTATAAACACATTTCCTGGTTGAACCCAGCTGTGGATCAACTCACCAAATCCCTGTGCAACACCCAGTTGGCATGGAGATAGTGAATCCCATCTAGGATCTGGTACAACAGTGACTTCACCATTCCCCGAGGTAACTGAACTGGCTTCTTGTTGGCTTTTGAAGCTCTGTGAAACTTAATTATATGCTGAAATAAAGAAATACCACAAGAAGCATTACAAATAAGAACAGCAGTGCTGAGATCACCCAAGATGCCAACAATACTACAAACAGCAGAACCAGCACACACAGGAAGCATGTCCTAATGACCAAGGGGCAGCTCCATTTTTAAGGCATGTGATGACATCTCAGGAAATGAAAGAAGACAGAGAGGCCAGAACTAGGGTGCTCTTCATTTTAAAAAAATTAAAATTAATTACATCTGGGGCACTATGGACCTGTTTATCCAGCAGGAATTTCCAAGAACAGAACCTTTTTTTTTTTTCTGTAAAGATTAATTAAAAAGGGGGAAAGACAAAATTCTGATTGACTGACTGAACAGCACAAGTGTGGTACCAATTTTTGATACTCACAGGTTAAGAAGAGCAAATGGATGTTTCAGTAAAACACACCCAACATATAGAAACTAAAGAAATGATAGCAAATAGATAGCCAGCTCAAGCTGGATACACTTAGAAGCATAAAGGGTCCAGATGAGGAAAGAGCCTACCCTGCAAAGCTTTCTCTGTACAAGTGACTAGACAACTAGAGAGAAATGAAGTACAACTTTATCAATTAAAACACTTCACAAAAAAATGTACATGAAAAGGTTTCTTCCTTTCCAGTTCTCACGCTCACAATGAGCTTCCTTCTCTTGTGTAACACCGCAAATCTGAGGACATCTCAGGTCAGCTATGCCTCCTACACCATTGCACATCATCTCTAACACATACTGCACAGCATGGATTCTTGTGCTTAAAAAAAAATGAGAGCAGAAGTGCAGTGCTTAACATTGGAGGCTAACATTTCACCTGTTACCAGATGTTACACAGAATAGCACACAGAAGGAATAACTAGTAAGTTGAGAACTAAGGAGCTGCATTTCCCAAGAGGGAAAATGTAGTAAAAAATCTACAGTGAGAAGAGAAATATATTCGTTGATGCATACCTGTCAGCATTTGAATAATAACACCAGGCTACCTTAAGTTTCTGCTCAGTTTTATACCTCAGATATTACTTAATAATTTAGAATATGGGGGCTAGAGAGATAGCTCAGAGATTAAGAGCACTGGCTGTTCTTCCAGAAGTCCTGAGTTCAATTCCCAGCAACCACATGGTGGCTCACAACCATCTATAATGAGATCTGGTGCCCTCTTCTGGTGTGCAGACAGAACCGTGTATATGTATAATAAAATCTTTTTAAAAAATTTAGAATATGTAACACATATTATCCTAAAATGTGATATCAAGTCTGTGTTAGTAAGAAAAAAAATCTACTGACTCTCCAAATGTAATAAAAATAGGTTTAAATAAAGTATATTAAAGAACTAGAAACCTTTAAGCTTCCCAGAATAAAAACCAAGGAGGTAAGATAATTAAAGGTGTATTTTTTCAGGTCACACTTCAAATATTACAGTGATTTTTCCAAAAGCAGTACTTAAAAAACCATAAATAAGCAGACAAATAAAAGTCTATAGCATGGGAATTTCTTGTCTACATATTCTTCATATTCCAAGGCTCAAAACTCAAATCACAATACCCAGGCTATAAATCACACCAATGACTAAATTATTTTCAAAACAACTCTTAAATTATAACTTTTGCTGCCTTATGTTAGTCAATCCACATATAATATTCCAATTAAAGTAGAAAAAAATAGTAAAGTAAGTTTTAGGGAAATTATTAATGTTAAAAATATTCATTTGCCTTCAGTATTAGTAAAATAATTAAAAAGGTGACAACAAATTACTTATATATATCAAATTGTATGCAACATAGCTTATATGTAAAATGCCTGCTATATCACACTAAATACAATATATAGCTTTTGTCTGTCTTCAGACACCTCTTTCTTGCTTTCATGTCCTATTTTGTGTGTGTGTGTGTGTGTGTGTGTGTGTGTGTGTGTGTGTGTGTGTGTGTGTGTGTGTGTGTGAATTTAATTAAGGTTGGGTGCACAAACATGGGTGATAGTAAGGCCAATGTTTTTCTTTTGTCGATTTAAGATAAGATGCATATACATTCTTATCAATATAGTATGAGTCTTTCATGGTATTGGCTAAGCCAGTAAACTACAATCACTCATTTGAGAAATCGTCAATACACAATTTGAGTCTAAATATGTAAAAATGCCACAGGCCAGACAAACCTAAGAAACAAACCCACAAGAAACACTACATTATATTTTTGCACTAATCTTGTTCTGTAATGCGGCCCTTATCAGCAACCTTTTTTCCTTATGCGAAAGTATGTCAATCCAAATAGTAAAACACATTGCCAATGAAAATGGAACATATCATATTAAATATCAATTGTGAGTAACTAAGAAATGATTAGTAAGTTTCCCATACTAAGCTCATACAGCTTGTAACAGCTTCAGGACTATTAGGAGACTTTGCTAGCATCAAAGGACAGATGCAGGGACAGTCATTATTAGACCTGTCTATCCTTTTATAGCACCTGTGCTCACCCAACAAGTCCTGCTTCATTTTAAATTCCTTCCCACTACACCATAAAGGAAAATATGTCTTTTCAAAACCTTACGGCAAAATAAGTCACCTTTTAATGAACTCTGTAACTAGGAAACAATGTTCTGAGATGTTCACACTCCTCTTATTTCTTTACTGTCTCTTACAAAGGCCAATGCGCCCGGATCAAAAATACTGGAAGTCTCCCTAGCCTGAAGAACCAAAATGATTCAACATTCAGAACTTTCTGAGATATAACATGTTTCCATGCCATGAAACACTATTTCACATTCAAAATTATTCTAAACATTGTATGACACTTTCTTCAAGCTATATGTATAAGGTAAATATAAAATTAAAGCACAGTGAATTTCAAGTTTAGACATGAGTTCAGCCTCTAAGATGTCTCATAAAATATATACAAATGAATAGCCCCACATCTGAAATACTTCTGCTTCCTAGCATTTTGGTAAGGTAACTCTACCCACTGAACAAAGCCAAAGCTTGCAGGTAAGGTGATTTCTAGTGCAGTGGAAGCTAACTGTTTAGTTACTTCCAAGCTGACTGAAAATAACAGGCCTATCTACCAGCAGTCCACCTTACCCAAAGGTCATGTTCAGCATAGTCAAAGAGAAGCCATACTTTCCGATCAGCATGAGACAGAAACACCTTCTGAAGAGAGATGACGTTTGGGTGCTTAAGCTCTCGAAGTAACTACAAAACAAAGGAGATTCATTCAAAATTTAACACAAAGATGATACTAAAAAAGGAAAAAAAAGAATCACACCAAATTATACATACATGTATATACAGATTATGACATACACGTATATACAGATTATGAGCACGCCCTGCTATCACCATGGCAGACATTTCTATGGCTGCTAGGAACTGAACAAAGGTCTCCAACGATGAATGCTGAAGCAGGAAGACAACAAGACGCCCAGGAGTCCACAGCCAGCTTGGGCAACAAAGCAGGACTCAGTATTATCAGACCCCACCCACCCAGCCACCTGAGCTGCAATTCAAAGGCAACACAAAGTCAGCACTTACTGATATTAAACAATCAATAAACACCCAGAGTGTGATTGCAAAACAGGTGCTTTGTGACAGAAAAACCTGCAGGGAAAAAGATACTGAGAAAAGGTAACAGCAAATCTGCCATTTGTTGCTTGACTGGTGATCTTAACTTTTTATCAAAATTACAATTATAGCCTTCTTTTTCTTCTTTTTGGTTTTACAAGACAGGGTTTCTCTATGTAGCTTTGGAGCATACCCTGGCACTCTCTCTGTAGACCAGGCTGGCATCAAACTCACAGAGATCTGCCTGCCTCTGTTTCTGGAGTGCTGGGTTTAAAGGCGTGCACCAACCACGCCCAGCTTCAATTATAGCCATTTTTAAATCCACAAATTGATGGCATTAAATATATTCAAACCATCACTATTATAAAATTTTTTTAACATTCCAAGCAGAAATACTGTATCAATAATCCAGCTCTGGGTAAACTCTAAGGGTTTCTATAGTAGGCGCCCAGTATTGGTTCTCATAACACTGTGACTTTCTCTTTTGTATTGACAGGCATGTACCTGTACTCCCAGTACCGAGGAGTTAGCAGGAGGAAGGGCAACTTTGGGTATCACTTTTGAGGTGCCATCCCTGTAATTGATTGATTTTTATGTGTATGTATGTGTATCAGTGTGTCTGCTACATGTGCATGTGGCCACTTAGATGAGAAGTGGGAACCAAATCCCAGGAGCTGGAGTTATAAGCAGTTGTGGGCCACCAGATGTGGGTGCTTAGTGATCAAACTCATATCCTCTGGAAGAGCAAGTGTTTAAGCCGGGCGGTGGTTTTAATCCCAGCACTTGGAAGGCTGGCGGATCTCTAAAAATTCGAGACCAGCCTGGTCTACAAGAGCTAGTTCTAGGAGAGCCTCCAAAGCTACAGAGAAACCCTGTCTTCAAAAACAAAAACAAAAAACAAAAAAACAAAAGAAGAGCAAGTGCTTAATCACTGGGTCATCTCCCCAACCCATTTATTTAGTCATCTACCTATCATCCATCCATCTTTGAGAAGATGTCTCATTGGCCTAGAATTTGCCACATAGACAGGCTGACTGGTAAGCAGCAAAGGTCCATCTATTCTCACCTCCTCTTTCATGGGATTACAAGCACTGACATGTATCATTATGCCTTTCTTTTTTTCGTAGATCCTAGGGGTCAAACTTAAGACCTTGAAAGCATTTTAGCTACCCAGCTTCATACTTATCCTTTTTGTGTCTGGCTCATTCACTCAGTATTATCTTCAAGGTCCATCCTTGTTGGAGCATGCAGCATTTTTTTTCTTTTTATAGGAAACATTCCATTGTATAAAGATACACTCCTCAGCTTACAATAGACTTACAGTCTGATAAATCTTAAGTTAAATATAACATCATCAAAATACATTTATTAAGCTAGACATGGCAGTGTATGCCTGTATTCCCAGAGCTTGTCAATGGAGACATCTGGATCCCAGGAACTAAACTGGCTTTTAGTAGAACTTACTTTTTTTTTCATTTGTGGAGAACTGGTTAATCTTTACAAAATAAAAGGTTTAAATGTATCCATACCCACTTTATTCAAAGAAAACAATTATTTTTCCAATTTTACCAGTGGGGGAAATTTTAATTTTCTGAGCATATGTCTACTTTGAATATTTCATTCACTATAAACCTGATTCACCCTAGTTATCATATTTAATTTAAACTTACAAAGTACAAAAAATAATAATATTTAAAAACATACATGACAATATATGCCACTCAGAGTGAAGAGGAAAAACTAGGTAAGAAAACTTCTAATATTTTCAAAAAGACAGTGTTTTCTTTTCTTAAGAAATTATGAATTTGCACATGTGTGTGCAGGTGCATGTCTCTGTATATGGGGTGCATGTGTGTGCACAGGCCAGAGGATAACCTCTGGTGTCATTCTCAGACATTGGAGCTTGCAGTTCTCCAATTACAGTAGATCAGAAGGCCAGGAAGTCCCAGGAAGCCTCATGTCTTCACTTCAGGCACCTAGACTACAAGCATGCCCTGCTATGACCATGGCAGACATTTCTACTTGGAAGCTAAGAACGGAATAAAGATCTTCATGATTGCAAGACCAACTAAACCATCTCCCCGACCCTGACACTCTATTTCTAAAAGAAAAACCAAGATCTAAATGTATACCTTAATCATGGTAACAGCCAAACTGAACCTTAATTATTCCAAATTATTTCAAAATTTAAATTGAAGAATCTTTCTTCAACCAAACTCTTAGAAACTGATTAAAAAAACAGAGACGTTGAGGTTGGAGTGAAGTGCGTTATGAAAACGTTCTAACCATGGACCCATACCATCTATCAGATACTCTCTGGCACGCTGGTAGTGGGCAACTTACACCTACTTGCACAGTAGCCAGTATACTAAGCTAAAGAGATTCCAGCCCATAGGAACTATGAAAATGAACATATAGCTCACAATAAAATGAGACCTTTGCCATGTCCTGGCTTTGGAAGAACCTTTCAAAATTCTCTCTTCCCCTTTTATAAATGCTCCCTGAGGAATGACTGCACCAGATCCAGAACATGTTAATGATACATGTCACAGTCTAGCCTGGGTAGGAGTGACAACAGATCAAAGTGAACAACAGGAATCCTCCTAAAATTTTTATTTGTAATAAATATTATTTAAGAACCAAACTTAGGGCTGGAGAGATGGCTCAGCCGTTAAAGGCTAGGCTCACAACCAAAAATATAAGAACCAAACTTAGCCGGGCGGTGGTGGCGCATGCCTTTTATCCCAGCACTCAGGAGGCAGAGGCAGGCGGATATCTGTGAGTTCGAGACCAGCCTGGTCTACAAGAGCTAGTTCCAGGACAGTCTCCAAAGCCACAGAGAAACCCTGTCTCGAAAAACCAAAACAACAACAACAAAAACCAAAAAACAGCACTCGGGAGGCAGAGGCAGGCGGATCTCTGTGAGTTTGAGGCTAGCCTGGTCTACAGAGCAAGTTCCAGGACAGCCTACAAAGCCACAGAAAAACCCTGTCTCGAAAAAAACAAAAAACAAAACAAATAAACAAACAAAAAACAAAACAAAAAACCCAACAAATTTAACTGGGCAGTGGTGGTATCTTTAATTCCAGCACTTGGGAGGCAGAGACTGGCAGATCTCTGTGAGTTAAATACCAGCCTGGTCTACAGAGTGAGTTCCAGGGCTACACAGAGAAACCCAGTCTCAAAACAAAACAAAACAAAAAGATCCTGCCCAAGCTTAAATGTAGATTACCTTGACAGGTAAATTAAATGAACACTTTGCTGTTTCTTTATGTGTATAAACGCATTTACATTTATTGAGATATAGGTAAGGGCAAGCACAATTACGTTTATCTAAAAAAATATTTTGTAGCTGGGCATGTTGGTATAGGCCTTTAGCCCCTGCACTCAGGAGGCAGTTTTGAGGTCAGTCTGGACTACATAGCAAGTTCCAAGATTTCCAGGGCTACATAGAAACCCTGTCTTTAAATCAATCAATCAATCAATCAATCAAACAAACAAACAAACAAACAAATGTCTTGTCATTTGTTTGGTGAGGGATATATACATAATATATGCTTGATAGTGAGTGTAAAATTTAATGTGAAGCTTCACACTTTCTGTTTTAAATGACAGTCCCAGCTATATGTAAGTTCATTAACTTGTACAGACTTTGGATCTGGCTAATTTTAATGTGATGTTTACATTTAATTGGAACTGAATTTTTAAAAAGTAATAAAGAATAAATGCGTGGTTGAGATGGTTTAGCAGCTTAAAGGCACTCACCACCAACCTGAATTTGATTCCTGGGTTCCACACAATAGAAGGTGAGAACCTAGTCCTGCAAGCTGTCCTCTGACTAATTACACACTCACCATGGAACAAATAAATGCACAAACCACAAGTGCCAAATTCAATGAATTTTTACGTATTAAACCCTTGGGACCAAACCCACATCAAAAAATACCCAAATATTATCAGCACTCTAAAAGCTCCCTTTGTTCCTTCCAGTCATTTTATTCCCCCCAACAGTCATAATCAGCCTAACTTCTTACATCACCATGCTGGATTGAATGAATTTTAGTTTGTTAAGACTGACCTGTGCAAGAAGAAAAGAATTTCATGAACCATCATTGGTGTATAAATATCTTATCTCAAGAGTCAAGAGTGGGGAAAAAATGGGCTGGAGAGATGGCTCAGCTGTTAAGAGTAATTGTCACTTTTCCAGAGGACCCGAGTTCAATTCCCAGCACCCACATGGCAGCTCACAACTGTCTGTAATCCAGTTCAAAGTGATTGGCACCCTCACACAGACAAAACACAAAGACACATAAAATTTAAAAATCATTTAAAAAAAAAGGGGGGGAAAGTCGCTAATTGAAATACACCTAACATGGAGAAATAGAAGCTTAGAAGTTGGAATGAGTGGCTGAACACAATTTGGGAAACAAAGGGATCCAGATGGCTTATGCTCTGTCTGCTGCTTCTCCAAAGTCCACATGATCAACCTGCTAACTGCCCCAACAAACTGGTGTGGGATCGGTTTTGATGTCTCCTGCTTATTCTTCCACTGTTCCATGTTGATGTTAACCGTCACATTCTCTTAGGGGTGCTCAGAGCCACACCTGTGTGAAGTTTACTTATGGAGCTGCTTGCCTCTGCCCTGGGAGTCATTAGTAGCGACAAGTACCCTCTGTCCTTCCACAGTTGCTGTGAGCAAGCAGTCACTGCTACCCACTAACTAGCTAGGCTTATTTGGTGCCTGGAGCACTGTTTGGAGCCTGGATATAGTTGCTGCCATTTCTAGGTCTCTTGTCTGCATGCTGAGGGCTATCTCAAGTGTCTATGGACACTAGGGAACCCTTAGTGCTCTTTAGTGATAGCATTTGTATACTTTCAGAAAAAGCCCCGTGGGATGGTCTGCGTCATCATCTACTGCCACCCACAGTGGCAGGACACAGAGGGAAGGATTCATAAAAGTGAAAGATTCATAAAAAAGTCATATAGAAACCTATACTTTTTAGTTTTATTAGAGTATAATTAATAGTTATAGCCATTTGCCTATGCCCTTTGGGCTTGGGATAAGTAATTAACGGTCAAATTAAATAGGCCAAAACTAATTTTCTATGTTTATTAATGTACATTTCAGTCTCACATTTAAAAGGTTGTGTTCATGATGCTTAGATATGTTAAAATATATAAATATGTACAAATTTATCTATAATAAATACTATCCATGAAAATATAATTTTAAAAAACCTGTGTAATGGAGTGACCTCACTTGAGTGGATTAAGCTCCTCCCAGCCCCAGTGTGGGAGGCCCTACAAAATAATTAAGGCTATTACCTGTTGTGGAATATTACTTCAACTATGTGAAAGTTTGTTACATTGTGTATGCTGCATTAGTTTAATGATGTAAAGATGTGTTGCTTTGCCTGCTTAAGGCAACTTGGTCTAATAAAAAGCTGAATGGCCAATAGCTAGGCAATAGAGGAACAGACAGGGCTGGTGGGCAGGGAGAGAATGAGGGAGAAAGAAAGGGAGATGCCCGGGGCCAGCCATCTGCCAGTCAGCCAGATACCAGCCAGATACAGAGTAGGGTATACAGAAAGAAAGATAAAAAGTCCCAAGGCAAACTATAGACAAAGAAAAACAGGTTAAAATAAGTTATAAGAGCTAGTGGGACAAGCCTATGCTAAGCCTGAGTATTCACAACTAATAATAAGTTTCTGTGTCTTTATTTGAGAGATGGTTGGCGGCCCCAAAAGAAAGCCTGCTACAATTGCCATTGCTCTGGGTTGCTCAAGAGAAATGGCTAGGTCCTATCGCTGAAGATACCATGGAGACAGATGCTTGGCCAACTCTGTTCAACAAGCAGTCTTTCCTTTTCCCATGTATTTCTACCATGACACCAGGCTCACTTATTTCCCCTGTTAAGATTTATGACTCTCTTTTCCCAACAGTATAAAAATACTCAGACACAGAGACCCAAATTTGTGTATCTTCATTTTTCCTACTTTAAAGTCCTGTCAACAAATGGCCATCCTTTGAAGATACATTAGCATGAACCTGTTAAAAGAGTGTGATTATTTAAGGGAACATTTCTAGATTATAGAAGCCATATTTACGTACTGACAGGAAAACTAATGTAATAACACGGGCAGAGACTGTGATATATACCCATGCAAGTCTGATTATAGAGTCAGGAAACATACATTCGGAACCACATTTTTTAAAAACTTTATTGTCATTGTGTGTGTTTCCATCATGGTATGTGTATGTGAAGGTCAGAGGAAGATTAGTGAGAGTTGGTCCTCTCACTCTATCAGGAAGGTTTGGGAACTGAACTCAGGTTATATAGCTTACAGTAAGCACCTTTACCTACAGAGCCATCTCAGTAGCTCAGAGTCACAGTTTACTTCCTTTGGAGTAAAGAGATTCTAATTACTACATGGGAAGCTATGCTTCCAAAAGACAACTGAACAGATAAGGTGATAATAAAACAACAGAATTTCAATTTTATCCCCAGGCGTTGGTGGCGCACGCCTTTAATCCCAGGACTCGGGAGGCAGAGGCAGGCGGATCTCTGTGAGTTCCAGGCCAGCCTGGTCTACAGAGCGAGTTCCAGGACAGCCTCCAAAGCCACAGAGAAACCCTGTCTCGAAAAACCAAAAAAAAAAAAAAAAAAAAAAAAAAAAGAATTTCAATTTTATCTGGTATACATAAAGACATCAAATATCACACCAGCCAAAGAAAACTTTATATTAATAACTGTCATTGACTAGATTTAAGTTAACAATTAAGAATTAGTGATATGTTGATGGAGGTCAATGCAATATGGAATATAATATATTTATATATCAGAATAAGAACTTACACACAAAAGGCTGGGGAGTCAGAAGCGTGGCAGGCTTCCAGAGGAAGAGAGAAGAGGGATTCGTTTCTCTTTCACTTCCTTTTATCTCCACAAGTCCAGAATTCCCTTATCCCCACCCTTAGGGCAGATAGCTTTGTGGGGCTTACCCCTACAGTGATGTTTATTGGGGGAAGGTGTTCATATAAACAACTAAAATTAATTTATCCCAAATAACTAAATGCCACCTTCACTTCTTAAAATTTTTTCTATAAATATTTGTTTAGAAAAACATTTACCAGCTTTCAATTCATATGATGGCAAACCCAGCAGAGACCTGCCAGTTGAGACTTAGAAATCAGCTGATATGGTAATAACAAAAACTTCACTTACTGCTATTTCTCTGCATGCTGACATAGAGATTCCAGTTCCTTCTATTTGTTTTAAAGCGTAGTCTTTATCGTCCTTCCTGCAAAAACAAGGTTATTTTAATATACAGGTAGCTCTATGTTTGCATGCACTTTAATAAAGTACTACATAAAAACAAAACTATGTTTAACACCAATGCCAGACAGGAAAATCTTCTTAGATATGTAGGTCAAGGCAATTACTTGTGGAGGGGTGTTAACAGCACCAGAATGTAAAGCCTTGTCTGGAACTCCCGTTACTTGCTCAGGACAGAGTCAGGGATGGAGCTCCTGACTCCTACAGACAAGTTTTCTTCTAATTATAAAATAAAGCTTTATCTGTAAAATCAGTTTACATGTCAAAGGATCAGAAAAGCCAAGATACAACAGTAAAGCACAAAATGGTTGTAACTTTAAAAACTAAACACATTATAATCATACTCTCATAATGTATAACTTAGGTTACACCCAGGCACCTTTGATAGACATTCTCTTAGCACCTACTTCTAAATAGTATACATCAAGAACTGTCCTAAAAACTGGGCATACACAAGGATTTTACCTATTACCAGTTTCATATATCTGTCATCATAAGTAACTAATCTGCTATAACACAATTCAAGTGCTACAGCAGGCCCAGTGTAAATCCAGGGGTTTTCTGACTTAGTTCAGGGGTGACTCTGATGCAGACCCAAGCAAAGACTTCTCAGAAGACATATCTAACTGGGAGAATGGCTCAGGCTCTGAGGACCTTCATTTTCATGGATATTATTGAGGACCCTGAAGAAGATCAAGAAATAGAAAAGTTGAAGAATATTCCACTTTGATGACTTGTATTATAAGGTCATACCTTAACAGGAAATGTGGGGTGAATACAGTGGGGGACTGAATCAGCCCCTTGTAAAGCTAGCTAAGGTCACTTAAGGCTTTATTCTTTAAGTTATTATTAAATCTTACAGCCGGGAGGTGGTGGCACATGCCTTTAGTCCCAGCACTCAGGAGGCAGAGGCAGGTGGATCTCTGTGAGTTTGAGGCCATTCTGGTCTACAGAGTGAGTTCCAGGACAAGCTCTAAAGCTACACAGAGAAACCCTGTCTCAAAAAACAAAACAAACAAACAAACAAAGGGCAAAGAAAATTTTACATTATTTTTTCTTTTACAACGTATTTCTACCAAATCCTCAGATAAACAAATCTGAATTATTCAATCATGATAGTACTTCCCAGGGTGAAATTGTTTTACAATGGACTTTACAACATACTTCACAGTAAAAGCACCACAGCTCTCATACAATAAGAAATAAATTAAGGATAACTGTACTTTAATATTCACTAAGTCTAAATGGTTTTTCAAAGTCCGAAATAAGTAAAGACATAAAAATAAACACACTGGGATTAGAATAAGTGTACTAGACATATTATATGCAGGGTATTAACTAATAAAACATTATACAATATATTCTGCACTGTCCAAGGTAGGAGATTAACATCTTAGATTTGAGCCCTCCAAAGACAAATAGTGTGACAGGCATGGAAATACTAAATTCAATCAAACACTGGCTCGTTCACCTTCACGTTCTGTTCTAGCTTCACCTTCGTGGCTGTGACAAATTTCATGACCAAGAACAATTAAGAGGATACAACCCATTATTGAACGAAGTCAGAGCAGAAACTCAAGTAGGAATTTGAAGCAAAAACCACGGAGAATCACTGCTTGCTAGCTTACTCAAAGACTTGTGCTTAGCTAGCCTTTTGTTTTTTAGCTTTCTTTCATTAGAGATTTTTTTGTCTGTGTCTGTGAGTATGAGAAAGTGCACGCATGCGCGCACACACACATTCTCTGCCTCCCTCCCTCCCTCCCTCCCTCCCTCCCTCCCTCCCTCCCTCCCTCCCTCTCTCTCTCTCTCATGCCCACAGAGACCAGAAGAAAGCGTCATATTCCTCAAGTGGGAATTATAACAGTTCCACGCATGCTAGGAACTGAACTCGAGTCCTTTAAGAGCAGCAGTGCTTTTATCTGTTGGCATCTCTCCAGAACCTTAGCTAGCTTTCTCATGTATCCCTGAACCACCTACTCAGAGAATGGTGCCACCATCCCCAGCAGGCTGGGCCCTCCTACATTACTATTAAGACAGCCTGCTGCAAACAAGTCCACGTATCAGTCTGATTTGGCTATCCCTTAACTGGGACTCTCTTTTCTTTTGGCTTAGCTTTTTTTTTTTTTTTTTTGAGACAGGATTTCATTTGGCAGCCTTGGTTGATCTAAACTCAATTTATAGACTAAGCTGGTCTCAAACTCACAGAAATCTACTTGCCTCTGCCACCTGAGTGCTGATATTAAAAGTGTGTGTCACCACACCCCACCATCTACACGTGTTTAAAGAAAAGATACTTAAGAGATTAAAAAGATTTACTTACTGGTTTCAATAATGATCCAACATGAGCAGTCAAATTATAAATAAATACTAGCATAGTGTTGTAAGTATAGCTAATCCTTGAACAACATAGGTTTGAGCTTTGAAGGTCTATTAATATGCAATTTTCTTAATACATATGAAAATACGAAAAATGTAGATAAACTATGTAGCCTAGAAACATTACAAAAATTAAGAAAATGTTAGGTATGCCATGAATGCATAAAAATATATGTAGATAATACCTTGTTGTTTACTACTATAAAATAAATACATATATTACAAAAAGTTAAAATTTATACAAACTTAGCAGGGCAGTGGTGGTGCATGCCTTTAATCCCAGCATTCAGAAGGCAGAGGAAGGCAATCTCTAGGCCAGCCTGGTCTACAGAGTGAGTTCCAAGACAGGTTCCAAAACTACACAGAGAAACTCTGCCTCGAAAAACAAAACAACAACAGCAGCAAAAAAGACACTTGAGGACTAGGGAATGGACAAGCTCAGATGGACAAGCCCCTTGCCTTGCAAGCATGAGGACCCGAGTTCCAGCCTCAGAACCCCAGAAGAAAATGCTGGGTTTGACAATGGGTGCTTGTGATCCCCAGGGCTGGAGAGGTAGAGACAGCTTTACTGGCCAGCCAGCTTAGCCTGATTGGTAAGGTGCAGCCAGTGAAAGTGGACAACATCCAGAAAAATGACAACCAAGGTTGTCCTCTGACTGTCAACGAACTACTCAGTGGCCTGCTAATAACCCAGACATTGTCTACTCACAATTCCTCACGTTACCACCCTTAAGGCCTTAACAGAATAACAAACAGTCTTTCATACTTTATGATATTGTAAATTAATTGGGGCCAGGTGCTGGTGGCTCACACTCTTAATCCCAGCACTTGGGAGTAGAGGCAGGCGAATCTCTGTGAGTATGAGGTCAGCTTGGTCTACAGAGCGAGCTCCAGGACAACCTCCAAAGCAATACAGAGAAACTTTGTCTCAAAAAAAACAAAAATAAATAGATAAATAAGAATTAAAAAATAAATTAATTGGGTAATTTGATGGTGGAAGGGGGTTCTACAGTGCAAAACAAATTACCACCTTAGATATTCTCCTAGTATGCCTCCAAGCTCACCCTTATTCAATAAGCAGGCTATAACTAATATGGATGTTGTTTATGAATGTCTGTATTTAAATAAAATCTGACTTTTTGTAAACAAAGGGGGCATGGAGGTAAAAATACAATCCTCACCTCAAAGAAGGGTATGAAACAGTTTATTCTAGAACCAAACATGAGTGAGTGTGTCCTGGGAACAGAGACTTGTGTGACCCTGTGTCAGTCCAACTCCAAATCAGTTCCATGAAGTTTTACATAACCAAACAAATTAAATCATAAACTACGGCACTTTTAAAATACGTTGGTGGAAACATCAGGGAGGTGGGTTATTGCAAAGCTGGGGAATCTCTGCTATAGATACCTGATGCTGTCTGAAGACATTTTTGGGTTTGTAGAAGCCAGGGCAGAGGTGGGCAATAAGTGGCTGGAGACAGAGGGCTAAAGTAGTGTGTTAACTTTGGCATTGGATTTGAAATAATATTCCAACCTCTTCACATCACTGAAGTTCTAATCAAGTTAATACTTGTAGTTACAGCTTTTTTTCTGCAATTTTGTCCAGAGAGAAAAAGATATACTAATAACTGCACATTTGTTAAGACTGAATCCAAACACCTGCCCAGCTTTAGACTGTACCCTATGGAAGTAGAAGCTAACAGGAAGACTGCACAGACAATGAAAATGGTAGGAGACTCAGATCTCAGGGCCTCAACATCCCTGTTATCTGTCCTGTAGACCCCAAACCCAGTGTTTTTGTTTGTTTGTGGAGACAGGCCTCCTGGTTGCTTATACTTTCTTAAACACACTATGGAGCTCAGACTGGCCTCAATCTCTGAGCAGCCCAGTCTCTTCAGTATGGAATTATAGGTTATAAGCCACCATGCCTGACCCACACACATTCTATCTTTATCATTTCCTGAATGCTGAAGGCTGCACGTATTTTCCCAATTATTTTCTTTGATGAGATCTCCCTTGAGGGAGTGAGCAGTTCCTCAGGACAGTTCTGCTCTTAGATTTTCCATAAGCACCCTCCATGTTTTCAGCAAGTCCTAGAGCAGATCCACAATCTCTGGTATCTACTCCAGTGGACCATCAGATGATGCTGTCTGAAAACAGGAATAGGCAGACCCTCACACATGCACTTTTCTACCTTAGCTCAGAGAAGACACAAGGCAATCTGAGAAGGTATATCCCTAGTACATGTAACACATAAGAGATAATCACAAAGAACCTCTGACCATCAGAGGCAGAAGGCTGCCATCATCCCATAATGGGTGGATATTAAAGGGCTCGATACCCAAGTCTCTTTCCTGGGAACTGATCTTTTCTAATTTAAAAGAGAATTCAGCAGCTTCCTTCTCTGAACTTTATCTAATTACCATAAGACTTTCCAGCTACTCATACGTGAGATCTGAACAAAGCCTTGGTCAAAGTTTTGGCATTGTTTCCTGGGAATCAGAGATCAAAAGCATATGACACAGAGGCCAAAAATCACTATCCCTTTCTTGTGAGAAAGTTAGAGTACACCCAACTAACAAGGCTTCTATTGACTTGGTTTCTCTGCAGCTGGTTTACAGGTCTTCAAACTCCAAGGTGATTCGTACTGTACAGTCTTTGCTGCTCAATGAAGAAAACGCTCAGCAAGGAAGTCCCTCTCGTATAATACCCTATGACTTTATCTCTCTTGTATTTCCATTCGTGCTATGTGCCATGGGGCAGCAATAAAGGACTTGTCACAAATCAGCATCCTATGAATAGGAGCCTCAACTGAAGAACTGTCCTGATTGCCTTAATTGATGAGGAAAGACCACGTGTGGGCAACACCTTCTTACAGCAGCCCACATAAAGAAGGACTGTAGCAGAAGGGAGAGCATCTGACTTGCTGTTCCCATGCTTGGCCCTTCCTGTCACAGTGTTGACTGTCCCTGTGGCTGCTGCTGCTGATACTGTCACTGGCTTCAGAACCAGTACTTCCATTGTTGACTAAAGACCTGGTGCTTTCCAGGAACCTTCTGAGGCCAGATTGGAACTGCTGAGGCACCCAACCTTGTGGACTGAGCCAATTACTGGGTTGTCAGCTTTCCCAGTGAGAGACAGCCACTGTGTGTAATAACTCTTAACCCCTGAGACACCAAGCCTCAAGAACCAAAAAACTACTGGGTTCTCAGCCTCAGGAATGAGGCCGCTATTGTTAATATTTTAACTTAAGCTGACTTAATAAATTCTGTACTTTTTTTCATCCCATCAGTTTTGTTCCTCTAGAGAATGTTATTACAGCAAGCTAGTGTCTAATAATTAAATTCAGTACATGGCCCATTAAAATACTGTCCACAAGCTATGTAGGTTTTTATATTTTTAAACAATGGCTTAAAATAAACTCACCTATTCACCCCACATCCCACAAAAAAAGGAGATTACATGTGACCCGTCAAATCTAAATGTTTATTCTCTTTGCTTTCTTCAGGGAAGGTTTGATCCATGCTACTCTTCTATTTCCTAAAAAGGGAGAAACTAGTGCTGATAAACTATGCCCTAAATAGACACAGAAACGCTAGAAAATTCACACTGGGTTGGTTGTTGATAGGCCATAATTTAAAAACCAAGTAAGAGAGCTAAGTCTATTACTTACTGGCAAAATACTTGTCTAGGACAGCCCAGAGCCCGGTCCCTAACATTACAAAAAAAAACAAAAAACAAAAAACAAAAAACAGTTTCTGGTGACCTCAGGGTGGGTCCTTTTTTTTTTTTTTTTTGGCACCAGTGATTTAGAAGTTGAAACTGAAAAAAAAAAGTCAAAATTATATACTCTAGCTGGGCAGTGGTGGCACACGCCTTTGGGAGACACAAGCATTAATCCATGACTAAGATAATAAAGGTTTCTGGAAATTGATGGTGCAGCACTCAGGAGGCAGAGGCAGGCGGATCTCTGTTCAAGGCCAGAATGGTCTACAGAATGAGTTCTAGGACAGCCAGAGCAATATAGAGAAATCCTGCTGGAAAAACAAAAACAAACAAACAAACAAACAAAAAAAGATAATAAAAGTCACTCTGACAAGAGTCCAAATGCCAAGGTTTTTCCCAAAACAATTTGTTTTCATATAACTATCCCTCCCCCCCACCTCATGTGTTTGTAGTATGTCCTGGCTACTATTTTCTTTATTCTTCTGTTAGGCTTAAGTCTTTTGTTGCTGGAACTCTACAGCTCAAACAAGAAATTGTAAAAAACAAAACAAAAAGTCTACTGACATACTGGCCAGGGATATGGGGTGAAGGGCTAGAACTAAAGAGTTTGGGTAGGAAAATTCAGAGTTTGAAAATGGCCTATGTGGCACAGCGAGACCCTGTCTAAACAAAATGGGGAAGGAGGAGGAACCTTTACCCAATTTTGTGTTCCTGGTCTGAAAGGTGGGCCTTCCTTCATGGAAGCTAACTTTGTAACTTAACTCACAAAAAAAAGACCTTACCGAGGACTAGAAAATAATGGATATCTAGAGGTTATTTCTTACTCTTACTGATACTAAAAAACACTATCAGCAGCTCCTGCTACTCTACACTTCCCTGCCATGATCTGCAACCTCAAACTAAACAAACCCTTCCTCCTTCCTCTCTTAAGATGTTTTTGCTAAGCCGGGCGTTGGTGGCGCACGCCTTTAATCCCAGCACTTGGGAGGCAGAGGCAGGCGGATCTCTGTGAGTTCGAGGCCAGCCTGGTCTACAAGAGCTAGTTCCAGGATAGCCTCCAAAACAATACAGAGAAACCCTGTCTCAAAAAACCAAAAAAAAAAAAAAAAGATGTTTTTGCTAGTCTATTTTATTAAAGCAAGAGGAAAGTAAGACAATGTATTTGTTACCCACATGTACTTACCTTTTTATATTATGTATATGATACCCAAGTGGATTATAAATGCTCATATAAATTAAAATTCCTTTTAGATCATAGTGGAACTGGGTTTTAAGGGGGGAAAGTCCCAGCTCCAGCAGCCCTACAGGTTAATGTTGGCCACCTGTCCCAAAATACTAATTAAAAAAGCAAGTAATGGAGAGAAACAAAGAGAAGAGATTGAACGAATGCAGCCATGCTGAGGGAGCAGGTACACAGATCAAATAGCCCTGAGTCCATCTTTAGGATAAAGAGACAGGCTTTGGACTTAAAACTGGGATAAAAGGCAAGAGACATGCACCATTAAGTGCCTTAGCCAAAACATGGTCTTGTTTTATCTTTTTCTCAGTTTGGTTCCACAACATGGTCCAAACTGGTCCCCTCTTGCTCGAAGGGTAAGACTGGCTCCCACGACATGACTATTCCTGCAAATGGCAATCTCTGCCCTCATGCAAAAACTCAAGTAGACATGTAAACAAGTAAAGTAAAAAATGTAAAATAGGATACATCACAGGTCTGGGCTCACCAGTGTTCAAAGGCAAAACACCTACCTACAGGTCTGGCAGAACGTCTTGTGCTTAATTCTGTACTTTAGCTCATTAAGGTCAAATTGGTTCTAGATATAATGATGGTTCCTGACATTTATTATAAAACTGAGTGGGTAGGACCATTCACAAAACACACAAGAGAAAATGTAATTTAAAAAATTTTAATCTGGTTGGGTGGTGGTGGTGGCGCATGCCTTTAGTCCCAGCACTTGGGAGGCAGAGGCAGGAGGATCTCTGTGAGTTGGAGGCCAGCCTGGTCTACAAGAGCTAGTTCCAGGACAGACTCCAAAGCCACAGAGAAACCCTGTTTCAAAAAACCAAAAATAAATAAATAAATATAAAAAATTTTTTGGTCCATACTTCAAATTTTGAAGCACTTGTAGGAGTTGTTTTTTTTTTGTTTTTTTTGTTTTTTTTGTTTTTTTTTTTTTTTTTGGTTTTTTCGAGACAGGGTTTCTCTGTATTGTTTTGGAGCCTGTCCTGGAACTCACTCGGTAGACCAGGCTTGGTCTCAAACTCACAGAGATCCACCTGCCTCTGCCTCCCGAGTGCTGGGATTAAAGGCGTGTGCCACCACCGCCTGGCTGTAGGAGTATTTTCTGCATCCTCCTGGCTACAAAAATACTTATCCTGCGGACAGTTATTGAGATGATTGAGCAGTAGTTGGTTGGAGAGAAGACAGGTGAATAAGGTGGAGAGGCTTTCCTTCATAGCTCCATTCCTTTACCTTCTGAAGCACTGGCTGAGCAAGGTGCAGCCTCCTGGGCCTTGTCACGGAGAAGACTCAGCCCTTTCTGTGGACGACGCAGGCTGCATGGTGCCACTCCTTCTCCGTGCAGCTCACTGATCTGCTGAGCATTCTTGCCAGATGTAATGATAATGCTGGGATTCAGAGATGTGGATCCAATCAGCAACAGACCACCAAACCACAACCATGACCCCTTTTTGGTATACATTTGCCTCTGGGACAAGCTTTACAGTTTCTTTTCAGTTCAGTCACTGAGCTGGTGGTTGTATATAATCCACATTTTGTCACACAACACATCCAAGAGAACAGATTCATTGTTGTGTAAAGACAGGACAACAGTTCAAAAGGACAATGGTAAATGACAGTGGCTTTGATCTTCACCCAGCTCATGGGCACCCGCTTATTAAACTTTTCCACCTTCCCAATCTGCTCCAAATGCCGACTGAATGGCACACGCTGAACTCTTTGGCTACTTCTGCAGTGGTGAGAGGACCCGCTCTGGTGGCCGCTCTCAGCTGGTCACTGTCAGCTTCTGGGGCTGCATGGTGCTCTTCATGTCTGGGGCACTCAGCTCCTCTGTGAAGCTCCTTCACCCAGCACTGCACTGTGCCCTCCTTAGCGGCTCCTGGGCCAGATGAGCCGCTCCTGTTGCCAGGTGTCTCTGCTGGGCTTTGATCCATTTTAAACTAGAATAAGAAAATCGGTTGAGCCAGGTGATAGTGGCGCACGCCTTTAATTCCAGCACTTGGGAGTCAGAGGCAGGAGGATCTCTGTGAGCTTGAGACCACCCTGGTCTACAGATCAAGTTCCAGGACAGTCAAGTCTACACAGAGAGACCCTGTCTCGAAAAACCAAAAAGAAAGGAAAAAGAAAATCAGTTGAATTTTTTTTGTATAATAACAGACCCATAGTTTAAAAGAAATATAAACACTGAATGCCATTAAAAATGTACATTAAGTGACACAAGATAATCACATTAAAAATGTGTTCCAGAATCAAACAACAAATTTAACAATACAAAATCTGCAATTAGTTCTGCACAAGCCAAATGGGTAAGTATCCTATTTTAGACTACTGTCAGGAACCCAGGCACTGGTACACCAGAGTCCACAGCAGCAGCATCCACAAAAGCAGAGGAGGAGGACCCAACTACCCATCAACAATGGAAGAATGAACAAAATGCAGCACACGGTACCCGACAAGAAGGACCTCAAAAGAGTTAAATGGGACAAGAAGACACTAGCCAAACACTACACCATATACTGTTTATATGAAGTTGTTTAGAATAAACAAGTAGACTGGGGGTCACCTAGCTATAGGTTAGGAGGAAAAAGGAGTAACTCAGTCCAAGTCCAGGGATCCCTTTTTGGAGCAGAGGGGAGAGGATGGGGCCAAACACTCGAAAATTAGACCACAGTGATAGCTGCAGCTTTACGACTACATGAAAAGGCATCAAACTGCATACTCTAGGGGTATTAAATCTCAACAACGCTCTAGAGAAGCTTCATGAGCAATATATCTATATATAGCTTCTTGGCAGCATTTCTACAGGTGACATTTTCTCCATGAAACTAAGATTTAGCTACCTACTTAGTACAGTGTGACAAATGCAAAACTATGTTTTAAATACTTTGAACTAGTAGCCAATGTTATGCTACATTCCAAAGGGTGTCTGTCACCCGTAACTGCAGTACACCTTTCATTAAAGAACTATAGGCAGTTGTGGTCCATTCTATTGAGACTGACAAGCATGCTGGAGTCAGTGAGTAGTCACCAATGTGACACAGACAACACTTGTGCTTGCTTACGGTGTGGCAGTGCTGAAACATCAAGCTCTTAAGAGCACCGAGCTAGAAGCCCCATCAAGAGATGGGTGAGGCTTTGGTGTTCATCAACAAGAAAATGGGTAAAGAAAATCCACAACAGGAGGCTGGAGAGATGGTTCAGAGGTTAGGAGCATTGATGGCTCTTGCAGAGGTCCTGAGTTCAATTCCCAGCAACCACATGGTGGCTCACAACCATCCATAATGAGATCTGGTGCCCTCTCCTGGCCTGCATGGATACATGCAGGCAGAATACTGTATACACAATAAATAAATCTTAAAAAAGAAAATCCACAATTCATTCATTTGCAGAAAAATGAAATTAGTACATCTGCACTAAAACAGATGGAACTAGAGATTGTTATGATAAGTGAACAAACAAGCCAGACTCAGAAAGACAACTATCCAAACATTTCATGTTTTCTCCTATGTGGAAAGTAAACAAGGAATGGGGGAGATGAAAGTAAAAGAGGATATGTGAGAAAGAAGAGATATAAAAGAAGAGGCGGGGGTTGGGGGTGTGGAAGAAGGAAACGAAATCTATGTCATGGAAGTAGGTGGGCCTCTTTGTGGAGAAGTGACCAACAAGGAGAGGAGGCACGAAAGAGCAACAGTAGGGCTAAATAAGAGCAAATGATAATTATATTTGTATCAAAATGTCCTGACAAAACCCATTTTTGTTTGCTAACCCAAAGTTTAATTATAAAGACCATCAGAAGTGCCTTAGAAATAGTGAACTTTCTGCTCATCAGGCAGCCAAGCTGTGACACTGACATCTGTGGAGGTAAGAAAGGCCAGCAATAAAACGCAACTAGGAAAGGAGGTAAGAACAAGGTCAAGTCTACAAGCAATATGAGTCAGAAATGTCAGGGTGAACGTAGAGGAAAAGGGAGAAAATGAGCAGGGAAGTCATTACTGGACCATACAATCAGAGTAGAACAAAGCCAAGCAACAGGATAGAGAGATGACCCAAGAGTCAGGGAACTAAAGTCAGAATTAAATAGTGGATGAAGTGGATCACTTAGGTATCCATCATTTATGACAGAAATGAACTAAAGGTAGCAACAGTATGAAGTCAGATTCAGATGTGATGAAAATAAATACAAACTAAGATGTGAAAATAATGAAATGATAGTAAGTTTAGATACCAACATGGCTCTTTCCCCCAAATAGTAATCTAAAACACACAGACCCACACTGGTGTGGGGAAGCAAAGACCAGTATAAAATCTCCACAAGACCCATCATCTCAACAGTCTGACTTCACAACCAGTGTGGTAACAACACAAACAGTATTTTCTACGCACCTACTTTTGAGTGGCTTATTTTTGGGGTTCTGATGTGACTGAAACTGTGCCAAGTTGGAGTGCTTGTCCAGCACGCACTAAATACTGGTTTCATCACCACTGATATAGAATATGTCCTGGTATTATAATCCTATAATTCTAACAGTGGTCAGGATATGTAGGGGACAAGAAGTTTAAGGTCACCAGACTTTCTGTAAGTGTTGACAAAAGGTAAAATAGGTGTAACTTTGTTGATACAACTGAGGGAGGTTTTTTCCTTGATAGATGGATTCTTTGCAGTCTGCCAAAAACATCACTCACACCAACAATTTTCTGTAGTGCTTCAAACACCTGTGGAGTTCCACCTCCACATCCAAGTGTGCTATAGGGAGAGGCAGGTGAGGAGATACGAGTTTAATAGCTAGAGGATGAAAACCCAAATTGCATTTTGATCAGGATAGCACATTAACATTTTATCTGTGAAATAGCTGATGAAACCTGTGTTCTACATGCTCACATAGATGGCTAAACCTACCACAGGACAAGCCTAGACATGCAATACCATTAACAAATGCATGCATTATCTGTTTAAAAAGAAGAAAATATTAAGCATTCAAGTCTACCATTGCATATATATGCTTCTATATACAAGCACACAGGAGACATAGACAATGATTAGAATGAAATTAAACCCAAGATAGAAATGGGGGGGGACAGAATTCCCTGGGCATCTTTCTGTACTGTTTGAACATTTATTAAAAGAATACATTAATTTTTAAAATCCAATTGCATTCAACAGAAAATATATACTGTTCTAAGTATATAGTCTTAGATATGAAATCCCACCTCAACAATATGACACTACACTGGAGAACTAGAGGGGTATTTATTGACATCAACTGCCAATTGAAAAGAGCTAAATTCTGAGGACCACTTAAATGTTTATCATCAGAGAAATAGTTAATTAAGTACATATTTATATGCATACAAAGTAATACTCTGCAATAATAAAAATGACTGAGAACTATATGCTTATGGGAACGGATAATTTTTAAGGATTTACCCTTTTATATATATTTTTTTACATTGTGTGAATTTGTGTGGTGTGTTATGAGTACATATACATGCCCTAGCATGTGCATGGAGGTCAGAGAACAATTAGGAGTCAATTTTCTCTACCACCTGAGCCATCTCACCAGTTTAAGGAAATAATTTTAATGAAAAGACATAAGGTTATATATAGATTTTACTAATCTACACACAAGAGAGGAGGAAGGAGTGGGTGTTAATTTGGAAAGACAACCAAAATTAATTGTCCAACAGCAGAATTAGGGATTTAGTTTCTTTATTTCTGGACATCATTTTTCTTATAAATCAGAAGGGGAAAAAGACTATTCTGTTTGGAGAATGCATTGGTTTTAAATAGTATATGATAAATATATATAAATAAAAGTAATCTACAGGTTTAGCTTTAGTAACAGAACCATAACTGGAAGTAATCACTCTTTTCACTGCTTGACTCTGAATTCAGACCTACCCATGTATTGTATGACTTTCCTGGCAAGTTTCTATTCACTAAAGATCATATAGAAAGGGAAACGCAGATAAAAGGAATAATTCCACCCAAGTCCAGTGAGGCAAACCAATGTGTTTAACTGGGATTACTTACAGGAGCATGGGCAACTTACATGCAACTATACCACAACACAAGTACCTCCCCACAGCAACTGTTCTGTTTTGTTTTGGTTAGTTTGCTTTTTTGAAACAGGTCTCTCTATGTAGCCATGGTTGTCCCAAATTCACCATGTAGATTAGCCTGGCCTCTGCCTCCTGAATGGATGGGATTAAAAGCATGTACCCCTGTAGAGGCTCCCACAGCAATTGTAAGTAATTTATAGCTCCTCAGGGAGGGGAAAGTCTAACCCCTTCCACAAGGGAAAGGTCTTTCTTGTACAGGCTCTGATTTCAAGACTACAATGGCAGATCTCATGCCTGGAAGACATAGTTCTACATTAGAACTCGTCCTTCAGTTCGCACGCGCGCGCGTGCGTGCGTGCGTGCGTGCGTGTGTGTGTGTGTGTGTGTGTGTGTGTGTCGTTCTCCTGCACAATGTCCCCCAGGCCTTGCTGAGGTGACATTATCTTATCCTATTTAGGACTACACATTGGGTCACTATGCCACACCAACAGTCACTTATTCTTGGTATTCTGACCACTGTACCTCTCTCCACACTGGATGGGCTCATGCTACATGGCCTGACCCAGAATCAAGGAGGAAATGGGAACGTGCTCTCTTCTGCTGTACCTGCCACTAGAGTCAACTCCCTGTGTCTGATAAGCCACAAACTGGCATAATACCCAGCACCCTAATACCTCTCCATGACCACACTTGGCTGCTGATATGGAGGAACAGTATCTACTCCTAGAATACTTCTTGCAGGCAGGAAATGTACACAGCACAGTATACCCTGTTCATCCTTATGACAAGCACAACCATTTTTACCTGCATACTGTTCTAGCTCCATACCCATTTATCAGTACACATGATGTTCTGCGGGACCACCTGAAACCAAAGCATA